ATTTGGTATTGTCATTATGTTTTATTTTAGTTGATGTAATAGATGTGTAATGATATCTCTTCATGGTCTTAATTTGCATTTCCCTAATGGCTAGTGATATTGAACATCCTTTCATATGCTTATTTGCCATCTGTATATCCTCTTCAGTAAAACGTCTCATCATGTCCTTTAGCCATTACCTAATTGAATTGCTTTTGTTTTTTGTTTGTTTGTTTTTCTCTAAGAGTCACAAGACAAAGGTGGAGAGAAATGGGTAAACTAGGTCCTTAGGAGCCAAGGACAGTGGTGATTTCTCTGGATTTTCTTTGTATCATATATATCAGACTGAGTAGTTGGGTATTGATGAAGGCACCAACCCAGAAATGTCAATGTGTGTAGACCAAAAAAAGAAAAAAAAAACCTAAGAAAAGCTTTTCTCTCTAGTCAAAGGAGCAGAAAAAGGGCAGGCTACCAAGACAGAAGACTTCTAAAACAACCATTCTATTTTAGGCAAGCATCAAAGAAAAACCTGTGGCCCCACCACCAGTCCCTCAAGAAGTCTAGGTGGAGAGCCTAAACATACACATTAATCAGACTGTAATGACTCACTCCTAATTTCCGTCAGGGTGCTATGAGAGTATGGAGCTGGAACTTTCATCCTAAATGATCAGTAATGAACCCCTAGTATGATGTCAGTGGAGAACACATGGGGAGCCTATACTTTTATCCCCATATGTCAGTGAGGAGGTCTCCTTCTGCTGTCCAAAGGAGTAGTTTTAGAGGAGGCCAAGGGAAAATCAAGATTTCCATGACTGCTCAGCAATAATAAGGTAACCGCCTCCTCTCAGACAGAGTAATATCAACAGAGATCTAGTAGAGAGGCTGAAAGAGCAAACTAGCACAGCAACTCGTCCAACCACCTGACAAGCCACAAGGAGGAGTCCCTCTCTGCCTAACCCTGGAGGTCAAAGGAAGACAGTGGAAAACCTAGATTCTAACCACATCCAGCAGTAACGAGAAATTGTCCTCATTTCCTACAATTTAGAGTGATGTCAGAGGAGGCCTGCTAAAACACAAAATTTAAATAATACGTAGTCTCATAGACAATGCCACAAATGTACAGGTTTTGATAGAAAAATCACTCATCATGCCAAGAAAGAGGGAGATCTCAATTTCAATGAGAAAAGCCAACCAACAGATGGCAATAATAAGATGACCCCAACAGAATTGTCTGATAAGGATTTAAAAGCAGTCATCATGAAAATGTTTTAACAAGCAATTACAAATATTCCTGAAACAAATAAAAAAATAGAAAGTCTTAGCAGGAAATAGAAGATTCAAGGGGAAACTTTAGACTCAAAATTACAATGACAAAAATTTTTAAAACTCAGTGAATGGGCTCATCAGCAGAATGGAGAAGACCGATGAAAAAATCAGTGAATTTGAGATGAAACAAGGAAAATTACCTGATCTGAACATCTGAACAATGAGAAACAGACTGAACAACAACAACAGCAAAATGAACAGAGACTCAGGAACATGCAGGAATATAACAAAAGATCTAACATTCATGTTATTGCAGTCCCAGAAGGGTAGGAGAAAAATACTGGGCCTGAAGAAGTATTTGAAGAAATAATGGCTGAAAATTTCCCAAATTTGGCAAAAGATGTAAGTCTACAGATTCAACAGTTAAGAGTACACTGAACAGAATAACTCAAAATAAATATAAGCAATTACACATCATAGTCAAACATCTAAAAAGTAAATATAGACATACAATGGAATATTATTCAGCCATGAAAAGGAAAGAAATCCTGTCATTTGCACAAACATGTACAGACCTTGAGGGCATTACGTTAAATGAGTGAAATAAGTGCAATAAATCAGACAGAGAAAGACAAATACTGTAATGATATCACTTACATGTGGAATCTTAAAAAGCCAAAACAGAGACTACAATGGCGACTCTCGGGAGCTGGGTTGCGGGGGGGGGGGGGGGGGGGGGGGGGGGGGGGGGGGCGGTGAGAAAAACAAGGAGAGGTTGGTGAAAGGCTACAAACAAACAAAGAAACAAACAAAAGAATAAAGAAAGCAGTAAATCAAGATATTTTCAGGTGAAAGAAACCTAAGAGAAATCTTCACCTGTAGACCTATCCTAAAAGAATGCCTAAAAGAAATTCTCTAAACAGAAAGGAAACAATAAAGTAGGAATCTTAGAACAATAGAAAGGAAGAAAGAATAAGGAAAAAAGCAAAGTATGGGAAATAGATATGCCTCTCCCTTTGCCTCTCCCTTTTGAGTTTTCTAAATTACATTTGAGGATTGAAGCAAAAGTTACAATACTCTTTAATATATATTTTAATGCATGTAAAGAAAAGATTTAAGACAATTAGATTACAGATGGAGGAGAATAAAAGGACATAAGGAAGGTAAGGTCTGTACACTTCACTGAAACTTTTAAAATGTTGGTCCTAGTAGACTGTGATATGTTTTGTACATATAATGTAATACCAAGAGCAACCAGGAAGATATATATATATATAAAATATATAATGATATACACATAAAATATTATAGGTCAAAATGAAAAAATCAAATCAGAATTCTAAACATTCTACTATACCACAGGGATATAAAAAAACATAAAAAAAGAAAAACAAATAACAGAGAGAACAAACAGAAAATTAAAATAAGGGCAGATTTAAGCCCTATCAAAAATTACATTAAAATAAATTATATAAAAACATAAATTAAAAGACAGAGATTAGGAAAATTGATTTAAAAAATAGTCCACTGCTATAATGTCTACAAGAAATTCTCTTCAAATAAAATGATAGAGATCAGCTGAAAATAAAAGGATAGAAAAAAGCTATATCATGAAAATGTTCACCAAATAAAACAGGAATGCGGATATTTTTTATCAGATAAAGTAGATTTCCATACAAATAAAATTATTGGGACAGAGAGGGACATTACATAATGGTAAAAGGGCTAATCCACACATAACAATCCTAAATGTGTATGCACCAAACCACAGTACTAAAAAATATATGAAGCAAAAACTGACAGGACTAAAAAGAGAAATAAACAATTCCAGTTATATTTGGAGATGTCAAAACCCTTTTCCCAAGAATTGGAACAACTAGAGAGAAAACCAGCAAGGATATAGAATAACTCAACAATACCACTACCAACAGGATCTAATCATATATAAAGAACACTCAAACTAACAGCACAAGGATACATATTGTTTGCAAGGATCCAAGAAACAAATACCAAGATGGACCACATACTGGGCCATAAAACAAACCTCAACAAATTTTAAATAATTAAAATCATATAGAGTGTGTTCTCTGACCACAATGGAACCAAACTAGAATCCAAAATCAGTAAAATCTCCAATGGGTTGGAAACTAAACAACACACACCTAAATAATCGAAGGATTAAAGATGAAGTATAAAGAAAAAAACAAACACAGAACTGAATGAAAATGAAAATATAACATATCAATATTTGTTGGAAGCAGATAAAGTAATTCTGAGAGGGAAATGTATAGCATGAAATGCTTACATCAGGAAAGAGGAAAATTTCAAAAATCTAAACCACTCAATAAACAAGAAAAAGAAAAGCAAATTAAAAATACAAAGCAAGTAGCTGGCCCAGTGGTGTAGTGGTTAAGTTCATGCACTCCACTTCAGTGGCCCAGGGTTTGTGGGTCTGGATCCCAGGCCCAGACCTACACACCGCTTATCAAGCCATGCTCTGGTGGCATCCCACATAAAAAATAGAGGAAGACTGGCACAGATGGTCGCTCAGGGCCAATCTTCCTCAACAAAAAAGAAAGAAATTCTGACATGTACAACTGAACTATACACTTACAAAATGGTAAAAAAAAAAAACACAAAGCAAGCAGAAGGAAGGAAATAATAACAATAAGAGCAGAAAGCAATGGAATTGAAAAGGAAAAGGGAATAAAGAAAATCCATGAAACAGAGGATACCACTACAGACCCTACACATAACAAAAGCATAATAAGGTAATACTGCGAACTACTACTCACATTTGACAACTTAGATGTAATGGACCAATTCCTGGAACAGTACAAACTACCACAATGCACCCAAGCTGAAACAGATAATTTGAATTGCAGTGACTATTCAGGAAATTGAAATTTTAATTTTAAAACTCTCATGGGGCCGGCCTGCTGGCATAGTGGTTGGATTCGTGTGCTCTGCTTCAGCAGCTCAGGGTTCACCAGTTCAGATCCTGGGCACAGACCTACACACCGCTCATCAAGCCACGCTGAGGAAGCATCCCATGCAGAAGAACTAGAAGGACTTAGCACTAGGATATACAACTATGTACTGCGGCTTTGGGGAGGGGATAAAAAAAAGGAAAATGAAGATTGGCAACAGATGTTAGTTCAGGGCCAATCTTCCTCACACAAAAAAGCATACCTTTAACAAAAAAAAAGAACTCTCAAAACAGAAATCTCCAAGCCCACATGGTTTCACTCACAAATTCTACCAAACGTTTAAAGAAGAATTGACAGCAATTGTAGACAATCTTTCCCAAAAATAAAAGAGGTAACACTTTCCTACTCATTTTATGAAAGCAGTATTATCAAAACCAAAGAAAGATAACACATAAAGAGAAAAGTACAGACCTCATGAACTTAGATGTAAAAAATACAGACCTCATGAACCTAGGTGTAAAAATTCTTAAAAAAATATTAGTAAATATAATTCAGTAATATATTAAAAATTATACATCATGACCAAGTGGAGTTTATTTCAAGTATACAAAGCTAGTTCAAAATTGGAAAATCAATGAAATCCATTATATCAACAGGCTAATGAAGAAAAATTACATGAAAACATCAATTGATGCAGACAGAGCATTCGGAAAAAAACTGATACCCATTCATGACAAAAACTTTCAGAACAATAGGGATATAGAGGGACTTTCACAAGTCGATAAAAAACATCTAGCAAAAACTTTCGGCAAATATCACACTTACTCATGAAAGGCTGAAATTTTCCCACCAAAGATCAGGAAAAAGGCAAGGGTGCCCACAGTCATCACTGCTCTTCAAGATAGTTCTCGAAGTTCTAAACAGCAGAACAAAGCAAGAAAAGGAAATAAAAGCATAAGAATTAGAGAAGATGAAATAAACCCCTCTGTATTTGCAGATATGTCTACATAGAAAATTCCAAAGAATCTATAAACAAATTCCTAGCACTAATAAGTTAATTCAGCAAAGCCACAGTATACAAGATCAACACATGAAAACCTATTGAACTTCTAGATCCCGGAAATGAGTACTTGGGAACTGAAATAAAAAAACACAATAGCATTGTCGCTAGGGGCAAAGAGATGAGTTAAGAGCCAACTGACTTACCCACGGGTTTATAGAGTGTGGGCACACCGAAGGTCCCAGAAAGGGCTCCCCGGAGACTTCCCTGAAACCGGCTTGAAGACCCGGCCACCACCTCGCCGACCTGGTGCGAGCGCCAGCTCCTCACCGCCAGGCGCTCCAGTGCGCATGCACAGCAAGGGTCTTCTCGCACCTGATCCTGAGATCCTAGCGGCTGACCGGCAGCTCCAGGTCAGGTGGAGCCAGTTATGGCGCAGCTGTGTGGGCCGGGGCGGTACCGAGCCCTCCTAGCCCTCCTGACATCCCTCCTCCCTTCCCAGCCTGAGGCAGCCGAAGAAGAACGCGGCATCCAGGACTTAGAAAACAAGCAAACAAAAGACAGAACATCATTTACAGTAACTCAAAAAACATGAAATACTTTTGTGTAAGTTTAACAAAACAGTCACAGGACTCGCATATTGAAAATTATAAAATACTAATGAAATAGTATCTAAATAAATTGAGAGACATACTATTTAAATGGATTGAAACTCAACATAGTAAAAAAATCAATTCTCCTCAAGTTTATATACAGTTGTAATGTAATTCCTATCAGAAATTCCATCAAGATTTTTTGTAGATATAAAGACCATACTAAAATTCATAGTGAAATGTAAGGGAACTAGAATATCAAAATAATTTTAAAAACAAGGATAAATTAGGGGCTGACCCTGTGGCGGAGTGGTTAATTCCACGCGCTCCGCTGCAGGCAGCCCAGTGTTTCAGTTGGTTGGAATCCTGGGCGTGGACACGGCACTTCTCATCAAACCACACTGAGGCAGTGTCCCATATGCCACAACTAGAAGGACCCACAACGAAGAATATACAACTATGTACCGGGGGGCTTTGGGGAGAAAAAGGAAAAAATAAAATCTTAAAAAAAAAAAAAGGATAAATTAGAAAGATGATTCCACCTGATCTCAAGGTTTATCATGTAGCTTCAATAAAGACTTATTATGTAGCTTCAATAATCAAGACCATGGTATTGCAGAGGGATGGCCACATAAATCAGTGAAACAGAAGGGACAACCCAAAAATAGTGCCAACTCAGTATGGCCAGCTGATTTTTGACAGAGATCCAAAAGCAATTTAATGAAAAAATAGTAGTCTTCTAATCTAAAGGCGCTGGAGCAAGTAGATATCCATAGACCAAAAAGGAAAAAAGAAATGTGCCCCAAAAAACCATCATAGATTCAAATATGTAACATAAAACTATAAAACTTCTAGAAGATAACATAGGAGAACATCTTCTGGATCTAGGGCTTGGTGAACAGTTCCTAGACAAGACATCAAAGAAATCATCCATAAAATAAAAAAAAGTCAAAAATTGGACTTCATCAAATTTAAAAACTTTTTTTCTGTGAAAGACCCAATTAAGAGATGAAAAGACAAGCTACAGACTTGGAGAAAATACTTGCAAAGCTTTTATCTGACAAAGGACTCACATCTCGAATAGATCAACAAATTTAGAATCTTGCTGTTTATATCTCTTTTTATAGTGTACTGTATTCTAAACCTTTGTTGAAATTAATCAGCTAATTAGATTATGCCTGGTGCAAATGTGTTATTTTTATATGAGTGCAATGGGAGGTAAACTTCGGGAAAAAGTGAAGTCCAAAAAATGGATATTTTTAATCTACTATGACTAGCAAGTAGGCAAAAGAACCATTTACTTAACTAAAATGTTAAAACATATTTTATGCCCACTAGTTTGGCTCAATATTCCTGGGAAGTCACCATGTGTAAAGGATAAACTTATGCTTACTGTTCATTCTCTAACACAGCCTAGACTAATAGAATCTTTGTCCTGTACCTTTCATCTTCCCCATGCAACCCTCCAGTCTTTGAGACAATGACTTGCTAGATATTTTATGATTTCTTTTGGGTAAGAGTCTAGCTGGCCTCTATTATATGAAGTTTTAGAACAGGCAGAAACAATCTGTGGTTAAATAGAAACCAGATCTTTGGTCGCTCAGGGCCAGAGTGTGGGACGGATTGATTAGGAAAGGGCAGTGAAGGAACTTTGGGGATGACTGAAAGTTTCTGTGTGTTCATTAGAATGGTGGTCACATGACTGTATGTATCTATCAACACTCATCAAGTGTTTAGAGCTGATGTTCTATCAAGTGTTGGGCCTTCACTGTAATTTTGAAGAGCTCAACACCGGGAAACATGCACCAGAAGTTCTTTTGATCTTGGATGTGAAACGAGTTGTCAGCAGTGAGTCTACTTTGTACGCTGGTCTCCCTCCATCTTGTTAGAAATATGAAACTGTGCTGACCTTGATAACTTGCCAAAAGGGAGTTATCTGCTGAGAAATGACTTTCTGAGTACTGCACAAAAGTATACTTTTTCTGGTAGCAATAATATGTCCTTGAGTAAGCCGGTGAACTGTAACATAAATTTACCCCCAATCATAAATCTTAAACAAACAACTGAGGTAATTGTCCTGGGCTCTCCTTTTTGCTAATAAAAACTCCTGACTTTTACTCCTCAGGGGGTCACATTTCTGGCTGCTGCTGGAACCTGTGTTCCCCAAGTTCCAATTCTAAGACCCCAGATGCATGGTCTCCTTTGTTTCACAGTTGTCTCCTTCTGCCTAAGTGGACGTGGGTAATTCATCATCAAAAGGGAGTCACTCATATTTCTTCCCTCATCTATTGAGCATTTGACACAACTCCATCCACATTCTTTTTGCTGAGGTCTCACCATTTAAATGTCCATCAAATTCTGAGAGCAAACAGAGCTATGTCTTGTTTTGCCATTGGAGCGCGTGGCTCCAGATGCAGCATCTGGCCTTTCAGTTCCTTAAGTGAATCAGACATGATCTCATTGTATTCTCCAAACTGAAGAGAGCAAGCTCTCTAAGAAGTCCCATAGAAACCCTCCTCAAGTGACTTGAAGTTGCAAGAAAGATTCTCCCACCCCACCTACACATTTAAAATTGTCTTTGAAGAAATCCTTGCGTCAGCCCTGGTGTCCTAGTGGTTAAGTTTGGTTTGCTCCACTTCAGCGGGCTGGGTTCAGTTCCCGAGCTCAGACCTACACCAATCTTCTGTCAGTGGCCATGCTGTGACAGTGGCTCTCATACAAAAAGAGGAAGATTGGCAGTGAATGTTAGGTCAGGGCAAATTTTCTTCAGCAAAAAAAAGAAAGAAAGAAACAAGAAATCCTTTTTCTGACATAAAACCCCTCTCTAGATATGGATTATAAAACCAGTTCTTAGTTATCTCTGCTGCAAGTCTTCTTTATGTAGTCTAGCACTTTATTTTGGAATACAGATCTTCCTCAACTTAGGATGGGGATATGTCCCAATAAACCGATTGTGAGTTGAAAATTTCTTGTCAAGGGGGCTGGCCCAGTGGTGCAGAGGTTAAGTTTGCATGTTCCGCTTCTCAGCAGCCTGGGGTTCACCAGTTCAGATCCCAGATGCAGACATGGCACCACTTGGCAAAAGCCATGCTGTGATAGGCGTCCCACATATAAAGTAGAGGAAGATGGGCATGGATGTTAGCTCAGTGCCAGTCTTCCTCAGCAAAAAGAGGAAGATTGGCAGTAGTTAGCTCAGAGCTAATCTTCCTCCAAAACAAAAAGAAAGAAAGAAAGAAAATATCTTGTCAAAAATGCATTTAATACATCTAACCTACCAAACATCATAGCTTTGCCTAGCTGAACTTTACCTAGCTTTTCCTAGCTGTTCTGAGCATGTGTTCTGAGCTCAGAACACTTACATTAGCCTAGAGTTAGGCAAAATCATCTAACACAAAGCCTATTTTATAATAAAGTGTTGAATGTGTCAAGTAATTTACGCAATACTGTACTGAAAGTAAAAAACAGAATGGGTGTATGTGTAGAGAATGGTTGTAGGTGTATCAGTTGTTTACCGAATATCATACCACATATCACCAACCTGGGGAAAGAAAACAAAATTCAAAATTTGAAGTACAGTTTCTACTGAATGCATTTCACTTTCACACCACTGTAAAGTTGAAAAATTGTAAGCCTAACCGTCATAGGTTGGGGACTGTCTGTATGAGAGAATTTGGCCTCCTTTTTGTGGAGATTTTGTCAAAACTGATATCACAAGTCTTCCTATTTTAATATTTCATTATATTTTAGAAAAATAAAATACATAAGAAAAATTCAAATATTAAAAATGTATACCAAAAAATGTTTTCATCCCATCCCATACCCTTAAGTCTTCCTCCCATATCTAAGCAATCTAACAGTTTCTTATATTGTGTATATGTACAGGTACATGCACATCTGTAAAATACAAATACCAATTTTATGTGTCATACATTATTTGGCAACATGCTTTCTTCACTCAAGGATGCATTTAGCAATTTTTTTCATTTCGGTGTAGAGATTTATCTCAATTTTTAGTAACTGCATAGTATTTCTTTCTGTGAATATAACCAATTCCCTATTGCAAAGTATTTAATATTTTTTCAGTCTTTTAATATTACAATCCAGCAATGAAGAAAATTTAATATATTTTCAGGAACATTTATAAGTTTATTTTATATGATAAAAAAACTAGAATTAAAATTGCTAGATCAAAGTGTATCATGATTGTACATTTTGGTAGATATTACCAAATTGCTCTCCAAACTTGTCAGACCAATGTACATTTACAACAATGGGAGTGAACAGTTTGTCTACACCCTCGGAATACTGTGTCATCAAACATTGTACTTTAACAATGTGGTAGAAGAAAAGCAATATCTCACCCTCATTTTGATACAAATCATGTCTCTTTTATATTTTCCATTTAGCTGTTGATCTTTTTCTCTTTGTGATTTGTTCAAACTCTGGTTATATTAAGTCTACCACCTAAACTGAAATTCCCTCTCTATTTTGTATTTTATGTTACCATTTCATAGTATTTTTGCTTTGCAGTAATTTTTATGTTTTGTTTCTTAATACTTTTTTCACAGATTCTAGGACTTGCATCTTGCTTATAAATGTTATTGCCACTACAAAATACTTATGGTTTTAATGTTTTTGCATAAATATTTAATTTTCCAAATCATTATGGTCTTATCTTAGGAAATACTGAAACTGTACCAGGAGATATTCCTGCTCCATTCATTGCATATGTGCCTGACAAATATCTGAGAGAAAAACTTTGGAACGGCCTGAGTGAGATAATGGTCTTTCTCTAAATTGTAGACTCAATGCTCCATAAATTTTAGGCTGTTAGAGAAAAATATGTAATAATAATTGTATCTTATATCTCTATAATATTTTGGATATTGAAAATTACTTAAACATGCAGTATCTAAATTAGTCCTGATAATAAGTATATGACAAATTAAAGTCCAATATAAATATCCCTTTTTAAAAACTATTTTTATTTTGAAATCATTATAGATTCACATGCAATTGTAAGAAATAAATACCTGCACCCTTACCTAGTATCCCCCGATAGTAACATCTTGCAAAACTATAG